TAGGTATTCCGTATTTGGATCATGTTCTTCTTTACATGAATAGTTCAGCGCCTCAAGTTAATGACGAACCTACAGCGGTTAGAGGCAAGTGGGTTTTTTGTTTTAAAACCACTCGACCACAGAATCACCTAAATGATCTAAGGAAGAAAATAAGAAGATCATCCCACACGTATTTTGTTTTCATCAGAATTATATACAAAATAATATCGCCATTTTCCGATAATTGCTGCTTTCAGATCCGCCATTGAAATTTATCTAGAGACTTTATATAATTTTAAACACACATATGGTGCATTGCATATGCTTTGTTGTTCATTTATAAGATAAAAATTTGAGAAAGATTGATGTGTCAAGTATATGACCAGAGCTAAAGAAAATTATAAAACAGTGCTTTTCTCGATATTAGTGATATGTCTTTGTCTTGATTCGTACTATTGTTATTGTTTAAACTTAGATTTACATGCTTATTTAGCAATTTTGTTGAACTTCTAAGACAATCTATACGATCTTTTACTTTATTTTTGACCATTTTCGTTTAAATTGTTTGAATGTTGTTACATGTATCATGACAAAATCTTGCGAAAAATATGTGTGCTCCATATAATTAATAAATATAAGTTTATCTTAAATCATTTACATTTATTTCTTTCAATACATAAGATCTGAAAACTGGGTCACTTACGAGACACATGAAAAAATATTTACGAGTCCTGAATTGGGCGTAATGAATTGTTAATATATGAGATGGTGTAATTATTTTTACACAGTTTTTTTTTGACAGTTGAATAATAAATAAGGAGACACTATCAAAAATTCGTCAGTAACAGCACATTTTCTTACTTGTCCATTGTATACATCTGGGTATCCATTTTGAAAATGAGACTAAAGCATATTCGGTATAAAATGCATTTCCACGTGTTGTTTTCAAAAACAAAATAGTTTGTGTACTTTTAATAAGTGATCCCCATTCCCATATGTTTGTATAGTTAGATTATAGAAAGAATATTCCAAGAAACCGTACTTGAGGACCATTGTCTCGACTGTTGGCAAAATAATATAGAATATTCTTAGTCAAAGGGTTAGTTTAATGTAATGCAAGGACATCGTTTAACAGGTATATATATCATGCGATCAATTTGTGCCGGCTTCGACTCCGATGATTATTGTAGTGATACACCGTTGCCAAGATTTCAATGGGCAAGGGGAGTAACACATATAATAGTAAATCAATAGACATGTGCAACGCTACCTCCCTGAGAATAGCCATTCCGGCATGCTATAATTAAAATGGTGCTAGACATGTTAAAAGTAATCATAGTTGCCTTAATAGTATTTTCTTCTGTAATATTAATTTCTGGGAAAGGTTCAATCTAATGTTGTAAAAACTCGTTGCCCAACCCATTTGCATTTTGATATATACTCATTATTTGTATAATATGTTTGTAAACATGTATTGAATGAAATAAGATATGTTTAAACTTAAGCTGTACTTCCTGAAAGCAATGTTTCCATCTTATTCTGAAAAGAACAACATGATTTAAATAATTAATATCATGGATATTGGTAAAATCCCTGCTCTTTCATTAAATGAAAATCAAAGAATTCATCATAGAGATCTTTGTTTTAACAAATCAACATCAACACGATGAACCACGAAGTAATGACTTCAAAAAAATTACTTCAAGGATTTAGATGTGACAAAAATGATAACCCGTCTATATACATGTTTATTATATAATTACATTGAAGTGTGATTAAATCACGGACAATGATTATAATGTACAACTTTATCGACACGTATAAATATAAAATGTTGATCTTTCTACTTCAAATAAAAATTTCAAAAAAAAAATTCTTAATATTATTAGATCAAAATTGCCGGCCATTATTGATATCTGTTTTTTTAAAAAAAAAACATTAGTAAAGTCGAAAAAGATTATTAACAAGTGCAGATGCTTTAAATGAAAAACAAGAAATGAAAACATAAAATTGGAAAAACAGATGAAGAAGAAAAAAAAAGAATGTTAAAAACTAAATGTAAATGAAAGGGCTCTATATATTGCATGCGCATGTTTAATTAACAAGATATTGAAATTAATACTTGCAAAAATGATGAAACTTAATGATAGACTAATACATTGTTATGATATTATGATATGAAGAGTTTGTTTAATTGAATTTATTATAACTTACGTGGCCGAGCGATCTAAAAAAAAAACACTTGCTCCTAACCGCTGTACGTTCGACATTCACTCGGGCCGTCGAACTATTTATGCGAGGAAGCCCAGGGTCCAAATGCAGAATACCTATTCGCTGGCGCACGAAATAGCTATCGCGTGCGCACGTAATAGTATCGTGTGGCCACGGCATAGCTTTCGCATGCGCACATAATAAATAAGAAAACCTATGTCCCGTTTACGCTGTGGTGGAAATTTCGGTTTCAATGATATTGAAGACAAACTTTTATTTCATTTTAAATAAACAATCTATTTTAATTTCAAACCTTTAATAAAACTTATAATCCTTATTTTAACTAAACATAACACACCTTGTATATTCCAATAACTGTAATGTCCGACTCTGACTAACGCTGTGAAAGGGCGTGTTTATATAGGCTTATTTACCGCCAAAAAGTAACATTACAAGAAAAGTGAGAAAGTCGTGGCGAGGAGCAAAGCGTAGATGTATAATTTTCCCGCCTTCCTTATTTTTTGCGGGAAGTTATTATGTAACCAGACGAGCAGCAATAACATATAACTCATTCATTCATTTATAATAGCAAAAAATATGAGAATCTTTATTACAAGTTCTAATTAAACTTAATATTCAAAACGAAAATAAATACTTTGGCATAAAAAATATTCGTGTATTTCACGACATATGCCACCTTATTGTTGCTCAGAATATTTCTATAATCATTTATAAAATGTTAAGCTATCATAATTAATAAAGATGATAATTGAATCGCTGCATGTTTGTTTGGGTTCTGGATACTGCACTGGTAGAAATTGTCATTGTGACATGCAGAACAGGGATATTCTTTAATATAATTTATAGATTCTCAACCAAAGTTGTTCAAATTTTCCTCCTAGTTTCAAAAGTGGCCCCGCCACGGGGTCATAGGCTTTCCTCTAATGCAAATAATGGTTATGTTAAACATAAAAATCTTCTTCTTGAATTGACAATAGCTAGAGATTAGACAGTTGGCATTAAACATTGTGTAGTGGTACGAAAAATGTTCAACGTGTCAAAATTGGTCCATACACAAAAAACAGTCTGTCTTCAGGCCTGAAGACAATGGCCCCCTATTATTAAAAGCTATTTTTTACCCTTTCCCGTCATTTTACCCAGAATTTCCTATGAACTTTCTTCTACATTTATATGTAAGGCGATGAGCTTTTGTCCTTCACAGATTTTGCGAATAAACTTCATCTGGGTTTCTGGATTTTACAGACCTCGTAGTAAAAATGTTTTTCAAGATTTTCATGAAAACTAGCATGAATATGGAGGCATACAGCTTTAAAGAAATTTAAAACACGCAAACTAAGCTAAGCATGTTGGTCTGACTTTTTTTTTATAATGAATCAGAGAGGAAGAAAATAACAATAAAAAATATCTCCAAGAACGAATCGAATCAAGACCACGTGACAAAATATTATCACATGTCGATATTCCATCATTTTTACCAACTGCACAATTAACAATTATAAAAGTTTAAGCTGTACTTTATCGCAATATAGTGGAAAATGTTATAGGTAAAATACCAGATGTAATGATAGATGTATCTGTCTATTATCTCGAGAGTAAATCAATTGTTCTCCGATCTATTATAGCAAGAAAAAAATGACAAAAACATGGGAATAACGCTTGGTACTTGGTAGTAATTTACTGCACTAATAAGATACACGATTATATTGCTTATTAAAGTTTTAGTACTAATCTTAAAATGTTTAATATCATGTACACATAGACAAAATATTTATAAACAATGTCAGCATACATTTACATTTTTATAAGTTTCAAACTCATTTTTACGAAAAAGAACTTTCAAAATTATAGCCTTTCAGAACAAACCTGACTTATAAAGGGAGAAAAATAGTTAAATATGATCATTATGAAATGCCAGGGTTGTCTCCCTTCCAATCAACTGCATGCGTTATAAAATGTAACCAATGATCTCCAGCATTTGCGACACTTGATCTCCAAATATAACATGTTGAATTTCAGCTGAAGTCAGTATTGTACTAAACACAAGGCATAAAATAGAGAGAAATAAGAATCCCTAAAGAAAGCCCAACACGGCACAATTGAAACTGTTGCAGGCTCGGTTTGATTGAGCCTGTTCATGGACGGTACTGTCAAGTGCTAACTACCGTCAACGACCCCTAGCACCGGCTTAAGCAGAATTCAACATTTAACATGAACTGGTAAAATTTAGAATTTTGGAACATCCGCAGATGTGTATATTATATTTTATAATTATTTGCTTTTTGTGTGACGCCCTATATATTTCATTAGACAACGATGCTGTTCTTTAAATTGAGGTTATAGTAAGACTTTTATAACCTCCCAGTTATGAGTTGAGTTACCAAGTCCTAATAAGGTTCTTTTCCCCGCCTTATTATGATTTTATAGGTCTCTTAATTCGGTTTTATTCCAAATTCGGAGTAATAAAATTCTAATTAGGCTTTTGAAACTCCTTATTAGGAGTAACAAAGTAACAATCACGCGCTTTCACTTTAAAAGCAAAATATTGATAATAAATCAAGAGAACATTTGTTAATTAAATATATTCAAAATGTTTATTTAAACCCCTTTTTTAATCCATCGCCCTGCGGGCTCATGATTTTTCAATGTGTCATCGTGCGCCTGCAGATTTAAGTACACAAAAAAGGAACATAACTCTCTTTTACAATGTGACAGTATTCCATATCCAACACAAAAATATTTTATATAAATCGAAGGTAATTCCGACCTTCAGATTAAAAAGAGTACATGTGTTAATTTACTCCGTTTTTTTAATCACCTTCTAAATTTCTCAAAATATGTATTGTGTTCTTTAAACAGCAAATTTATTTGTAGACATTTGCATGTTAGTCGTTGATGTGAAAGAGGTGTGCCATTCCTATATACATATCTTCATATTCCATATTCGTTCAGCTATCCAAATTAATATAAATGAATACAAAACTTTCATATTTGATTTAATGTCTCGTACTATTTAAGTGCAATATTTCATTGATCAACATAAAGAAGAACACCCATGAACGATGCTGTTCTCTCAGTATCGTCACCAAACACATCCGGGTAGCTGAAGTAATGTGACGTCCATACCTCGTCACCTTGGTTCAGACGTAAAACGACAGAGTTACTTCCCTGGTTATCGTCCCAATCGTCTCTACTCTCAGCAACTGCTCCTGTCTGTTTCCCACATTAAAATATAAAATAGACAGAAACAAGTTTGATGTGCTAATGTTTGATGTGGTAATATATATAAACTTAAACGTAATTACGTCTTTCCGTTGGATCCATCGCTTCGTTTCGTCGCTCTATTCAATCGTCTTATGGCCTCGTCGGAAACAGTACGTAAAGACATATGCATACTTCGGTCGTATTACTAAATCATTCCATTTTGATTTACATATAGATATATTTCAGTAATTATTGATTTTCAAGTCAGATTGACACTGAGTGATGACTTTCATCTTCAATTATGCACGAGGCCACCTACTTATATACTTAGCATTTCTAATAGTAATAGTAATAGTTACTGAAACATATGTAAACAGTTGATTTCGTATCAATATACGTATGTTCTCTTCAAAACAAAATGTGAAATCAAAGTACATTTATTATTTATGCAGAAGATTTTCTTTTCTTTTTTTTGCAATATATTTTATGCTAAAGTAGTATTTGTGAAACGAAGTTCTGTTTTTATCGAAACAAAAACATGTTATTAAAAATCAGTAGAAAGTTGTCAATCTATTTAACGCCTTTCGGTTTTGATTAAACCAGTTCAATTGACATCGCATTATATTGCTACTTTTATGAATAAAGTTGTTATTTGGCATATGCAAAAGCCGAAGCAACGACATAGGAAAACGATTGATAGCTTTTTGGAAACTTGTTTATTTTTTAACTTATATACTACGGAGAAAGTTGTAAACGTATTATATACTTTGACAATTACTTTTAATGATACAAAGAAAAAATCTTTAATCATTTAAGTATCGGTAAACAGGTTCCAAAATCAATATGAACTTTTCTTTGTATACTTATTAATCATTGTAAATGTTATCCCTACAATAAATAAATAATACATTCCACTTAACCATGACTACCTGATGAACTCCATTAACAACAAGTTTGACCCATACATCATATGCATGCTCTCCTGGTAACTTTCTGGCCGTCACTGACCAAGATAGAAGATAAACCCCGGAAACAGGCACTCGGAATATTCCTGCAAAACATATTATACATGTATTATATCAATATATTATAACAAAAAGGAATACTATAAAAGTTTTTCGTCGACACTTCAAGTGCACATTTGTTAAATTAAAAAAAGAGGAGGGGGTGTTAGGGGGCGCTTAAGATACATGTGGACAGAGATATTTACAATGCTGCTCATAAAGAATTCCATAAACTAAATTTTCTAAATTACTCAGACCATTGTAACAAACGATTATATAAGCTACTACCGGTTTTGTCACTGTATGCTTGGCCGTCATTTAGAAGAATCTGGTTGTACACGACTGGCTGGTCTTTGCCCAAATTTCTGATCACGTGATCCAAATACGCAGTGAATGCAATATTATCCGACGTTTGACGTCTATCTATGATAGAAAATAAACCTTTTTCATAACAATATTAAGGCATTTTCCTGTACATTATTCTAAACGAGTACTTGTTATCATTTAAATTACTTCAATTCATATTAAACTTACTAGTTCTAATACATCAAAACAAAGATTTCTGCAAATTATTTCAGAATGAATGTTCATTAAATATCCTCTATTTTAAGTGTCTTGTAAAAGTTTTTGTGAAAAATATTCATTGGTTTGCATGGTGTAAGGTATAATTTCATCTTAAGAAGAACAAATCTTATCTATAGCGGTCAAGGAAAATTAATTTTGCTTTTCTTTTATCTGTTTAAAAAAGATTCCATATGAAAAATGCATGTAAGCTTCATGTTCTTTCCAACGTAAATAGAGAAGTAAGAATATCAACCTATATAAAGTTATAACGATATTTCTGATATATTTACTTATTATTCTTTTCACGTTAAATTTATAAAATAGATTTTTAGTTTATAAACTTTTTCGGTGAACATTTTGTTTAGAATTTGTATGTTCCGAGTCTCTGTCGTTATCCTGACAGTTCTGTTGTATATTTGATTCACTTCTGTCGTCTGAAGGTATTTTAGGTACATTGTTACTCAGTTGCACAATGCTACTATGAGTCTCAGGTTCTTTCCCTTCACATTTAGACACCCTGTTTGTCAGGTCATCTATATGTAGTCGAAATCGTGCTGTAGTTCCTATTAACACACTTATAGATTGTTTCAGATCCCGGTTGTCCTTTTCCAACTTGTTAATCTTTTCCTGCATGCTTTCAACTTTATCGATGAGTTTCAGTATCATCCCGTCATTAAAATCCAAATGACATAACGTACCTTTCGTAGATACCATGACACACAGAATAAAACAAAGAAAATTCGAAAAGTTTACTAACGCCATTTTTACTAAAGTAATATGACTTAAACCAAATATGAATTACAATACAACAAACACTTCATAGGATAAGAATCGTGAAAATAATTCAATATTTCTTTATCATAATGTATTTGTCTGTTATTTTTTAAAGCTTGTAGAATAGCAACCTCAAGCACCAGATGTTTATTAAATTTAGGTACATGTATAATCAACATAAAGAGAAGTGTTACTATGATAAGATAATCAAAATATTACTTTTATCTCTGTGGAGATGATGCTGGACCAGAATAAAAAGGGCATACGCAGTATCGAGAAAATTGTTTTTGTTATATATCTGTTTGAAACAGAATAATTAGAGCTGTAAATATATTAACTAGTGCATAGGTATCTAATGTGAACAGTTACTATATTCAGTGATAAATATTCTTCGTCCTTCTTGGCTTGTCTTTATATAAGAGGGAGCTAAGTGGTAAATTATTCCAGCGCACAAAAATCTCGCATATCAGACATGACAATACGGACGGTTGACTATTTCTGTAAAGTCTCATGGCAAAGTCATTTTAGAAAATAGATATTCTAAGTTTGTTTGGCAAATGTGTATATGTTCTTAATTCTAATAATATGGATTACTTTATAAACCCAAATGTATTAAAAATGTAGGTGTAGCGAGTGCAGTTTTGCATTTATGGTGCACATCAAAGTAAGGCTTATATGTTAAAAACTGTTTCCAAATATCATTCCTATCCTTCCTATGATGGAACATTTAATGTTATGTTACAATTAATTCAGGTTTGTTTTTCATTTTTAGGTATAAAGAGATTGACCTTTAAAAAAGATAAAACTGTTAACAATAAAGAGTATAGCGCAGTAATCTCTTTCTGCTGAGAATATAAAATGACGGGGACAGACGATTCATCCTACACTCCGTACAAGTGTAAGAGCTTGGCAGTGAACTGAGACAATATTAAGAACTACTTTTGGCTTGACTATTTGTGGAAATTCTAGATATAGTAACAAAAGTATTTTAACGTGTACTAAAGATAGAAATACAAAGCTATAATTTTAATGTTTTCTTCTAAAATAATTCAAAGTAGATGAAAACAGAATCCCATAAGAAAGCCCAATACAGAGAAATTGAAATGTCGCAGGTTCGACTCGCAATTGCTACTACCGTCCACGAACCATTCCACCGGCTTAAGCAGAATTCAACATTTAAAAGAAACTAGTAAAATTTTGAACTTTAGAAATATCAACAGATGTGTCCATAGGGTAGTAATCATGGAACCTTCAATTGACACGTAAGTGCCATTTAATGAGAAGCGGCATATGGTCCCCAAATAAAAACATGCCTGCGCCCTAAGGAATGGGCGAACCAAATGAAATAGAATTTTGTAAAGGGATCAGAGGTTATTAAGCCCGCACATGATAGATAAGCTATCATTATACAAAATCATAAAGCAGGCAACATTTCCTTAGGGTGACTGAACAGTAATCAGGTGTGGCATACTGGAACCAACTGACTAGAAAAACACAAAGTTGGAAATAATTTAAATAACAAGAAAATGCACTCATCACCAATGATTTCGTGCTGAACGATCTCCAAGGATTGCAAATGTAACATCTTTGTTTAAACGTACGGGGATACTTTATACAGCCGCCTCAAAGCATCTGACAGAATATTTCGGTCTATTTTGCAATTATTTATCTTATATTTGATCTTAAGGAAGAACTGTTTTGTAATATTTGCATTCTTTGAACGACTAACTAAAACCTAATGAAGCAAGCATAATTTCTCCTCAAGACCTAATGAAAGAAGACGGTCAGTCGGAAATAAAAATCTCGCAAAAGTCGGCGAACAGAAACCAAGTATTAATTTTTACTAAATGGATATTTATTAAAGTAAATGAAAGCAAACGGAATGACATATCATACAACATAAGTATATAAATAATCTTCCAACAAAACAGATGTGAATTTGAAATATTTTAATACTAGTAAGCAATGCTGGCAACTTGTACATGGTAATCATCGTTAATGTCCGGATAATTCAATTTCATTTACTATTTCCATAAGCCTTTGTTTACACGACACATTTTATATCAGCGTAATGATGAAAAAAAACACTGGAAAATGCCTTTGTTAAAAAACATACGGTGTAACAGTATGGCCTAATATGATACTGAACTGATCATTATCATGGTTAATATATGTGAGTAATGTCTACTGATTTCTTCGACATAAATACACAGAATTATCTGCTAAAAATATGATAAACAAGATCAACAAGGAAAGAAGGCGTTTAATGAAGGCAACTTTCAAACGACCCAGCAACGTTGATGTATATGGTACTCGACTGACTCGTTCGGTTGCTTTACATCTTTCTCAAGATGACAAGATGTGAAATTGTAATTTATTTACAGCAAATCCATCAGTTTTTAAATATGAAATATTTTATTATAAAGTTTGTTGTAATAGTAATCAAGTTTGTTGTAATAGTAATCAATTATGTTCTACCTTTACTTGTATACACATAACACAAATGAAACAAAACTTCAAGATTCTAGTCCTGTCGCTTTAGAAGAAATCTATGTGAAATTGCTAGTTCGTTGTTTTCTAAAATCAGTCAAGTATAATCAACGGAATGGTAGACGAAGAAATGATTTCGTTTTTTTTTTCTTTTCACGTCAACCTTATTCAAGAAAACTGACAACTGTTTTCACATTTCTGCCTGTCTTCGCTTCTTCTGCAGTAACAGTTATTTCTGTGCCTCCAAACGTAAATGTCACTTCTAGTGGGTTATTACACATATCATGTGAGTCAGACAAGTATAGGATGATCTTGCCAATAACATGACAGTCTTTGTCCGTGGTGAACCTAGGATTTGAAAGTTTTGATACACATATATCCCATTGTACTTTCTTCTGATTTCGATACTGTGGAAAATACCAATCTCTGTACTGTGATTCTCTAGTTCTTACTAAATCTCCCCGAGTAACGTGCTTGTGGAATATATCTATGCACTGCATTCCGATATCAGTGACGATACGTTTTTCAATCGGGTGTTCATCTGGTATGAATTTTGCACTACTTGAAACACCGTATGTATATTTCACAACCCTCTCTGAAATAACAAAAGGATGATGTCCATACAAAACTGCACCTTTTAGCACTGCAGTCGAGGCCTCTATTGGTACAACAACAGGAATGTCTGAAAATTCAGTTTTAACAGCTTGTTGCAAAAGAATACATTCAGAGAAGCCGCCGACCATAATTATGCAGGAAATTCTTTCTCCATTTATTTTTCCTATCATTTTTTTTGATTTCATGCACTGCTTTTACACTCGCCAGGTGAAAAAACCTGTCGAAAACATGTGACGGGAAACAGAGCTTGTCCCTTTTCAAAGTGACATCCATCTCTCCGAAAGCATCTTTTAAACTTTTATGTTTCTTAAACATGCTAGAAATCGAACCTCGTTTACTTGATTCATATACATCTTTTTAACTTTGCGGAATCCTCATATTTACATGATCACGTTTTTGAGGGTTGTAAGATTTCTTTTTGGTTTCAAAGTCACCCATTAAGTACATCCAATCTTCAGTTTCTGTCCGTTTAAATCGTTTGTACTTTTCATCAGATAAAACTGTTTTCAATAACTTTTCGAACTCATCATTGACTGCATTACCACCGTATATATTGCCACTTGAGGCCACTACTTGTTTAATACATTGTGGAGATGTGATTTCATGTACTGTTAAATCTATTGTTCCACCTGAAAAAAAATTCTTATAGCCTTACAGATGTGAGATACAAAACACACAGTATAGATAAAGTTGCATTTCTTATGAATGATACTGATATTAGAAATGCAGTCTTACATATAGAATAAATAGACATTTCGATTGAACCTCCATTTTACTTTAAATGTCAATGTGGACAATTTACATGTACTAAAATATGTTTTGTTGCTGGTGGCACATGACAATACAAAGCAACAGTATCATGGTAAATAGGTGAAGGAATATCAGCATATAAAACTGGCCCAGAAGGTTTATTGTTCACGGCGGCAACACGGAATTCTGAGTTACCGCTGAACAGTTACTAGAGGGCCAGTAATGTCCGTCTGTAACGACAGTCAGGTCTTTTCTCTTTCTTAAATATTTTGCATACATTATCAATCATTTTTTAATTAACCATGAAACTTAAATAATTATTTTATGTATTTTTGTTTCATATGTAGAAAAAGAAAGAAGATCTACAAGATTATTTATAAGTTGGTCATTTTAAGTATACTATGCATTCATAAACGCCATTAAATGAACATGAATGTTTTATTTCTAGTACCGATATAAAAAGTTAAAATATCAAATTTTTCATCCAAATCTGATCAATTTCTTTATCTTAAATGCAATATCTGTTTACATGTACAAAAACATTACCCCCAGCATCCAGCACGAGGTATCTACTACCAACATTAAGGGAGGATAATGTAACACCCGTGTCTCTATCAACAGTACACACATCAAGTTGTCGACAACAAACTGATGCAGCTTCTGGCTCAAGTGCTATAATTATGCTCTCCGATAATAATCCTGCCTAAATCAAAATATGTTTATATATATATATGTCTGTGAAAATAAAAATCTAAAATGACGAAATATGCATTTTTTTCAAAGAAAGATGCTGTACCTTAATTAACCTTTAAGATATTTTATTCTTTTTTATTTGCTTGTTCTGATAAAGTTGTCTGTAATCACATTGAGGAAGAACGTTTTACCTGTAAGGCAGATTCTCTCATCAAATATTTTGCTTGGTCTGTCCAGATGGCAGGGACGGTGATTACCCATTTAATATCTCCCGATCTTATATCCTGAAATCTTCTTTTTAAATCAGTGAACATGTCCTCGGCTAAAAACCGAATGCTTGCTGAGAATACGATGATTGCTGGTTGCACCTTTCCCATTTGATCAATTAGCTTCATGCAAGTATTAAACGGCTGTAAAGTATGTGTATAATGCATTCATCACGATTAGACAAAATAAAAAATATCAAAAAGGGTGATCAATCTGACGCTTTAAATACAAGAATTTTTTATGAAATTGCAGACTCGATTTGATTGAGTCAATATAACCTGTATACAAAACAGTCATATTTAATTATTAAAATTAAGCGTCAGAGATATGCAAGCATATATGCAATGAATGAATGTTAAAATGATAAATACTAAAAGCATACATATACCTTTGTACAAAACGACGGTATATAATTTTTTCCAATTATGAAAAGAATTTTACCTGGTAATATTTTCCATACAGACTAGTTTTGAAGTTTTTAAAGAAGAAATAACTATCGTGTTGTTTCTTTGATACTAAATCGTCATATTTTCTCTCTGCCTCGTAGCCAAATGAGTCTAGGGTTTGACCGTCTGGTTTTATCAAAGCGCATGTTGTAGTTTTTCCTGTTGCAAATTGCGTGTATGTTGAATACCAAGACTTAATATATATATTAGGCTTTATTTCTTGCTCCAGATCCGAAATAGTGGCAAATGCCCACCCAGAAAATGAAGTTCCCAAGTCTATGGCCGCAATGAAAAGCTTACTGTCCTTCTGAAATAATCATGATAATTATGTTAAAAAGTTAACATTATTGAGTGATCATTACAACCTTACTTTAATGTACAAAATGTTGCTACATTTGATACATTTTGAGGGGATTTAGAACTCTAGCTGATATAAAATGACTTTGGCATTGGTATAAGAGTAGTGAGGAATTAATATAAATGATACTACCACGTTCTATCTTTAGAAACCAGACATGTAGGACCTTGAAAAAAAAACAAGCGGCGAACAATTACTTGACGATAAAATTTATAAACGTTTAAAAATGCATGCCTCCAGATGAGTCCTAATATGTCAATTAAATCAAACTTGATAAAAATGTTCTAGGATTTTAGGAATAAAAAAAGGATTCAAAATTAAATACAAATGTAATTTATATTTTATGTGAGATTAATGATTCTTTTTTCAGTATTTACAGCTATATTTCTACTGCGTTACTAACCAGAAAGTGCTATTTAGTTATTTTGGTAATCCAAGCGAGAGTCTTTGAAGCGCGTCGTCTCGAGTAATGGTGCTAAGTTGCGTTCCTTTGGTTCACTTCACAATATTAAAGCATTCAAAATAAAGTTTCCTAAATCTTTCATAAAATGAAGTATGAATCTTGGAAGGCCGATGACTGCTTTGATTCGTCTTGGGAATGTTTTACTATGTGCACGAGCCAAAAGCACTTCACATAAACATGTGCCACAAATAAAAAATGTAGTTTTTCCTGCTAAAGAAGCTAATCATTATAATTTCGTATCTGAAACTTGATCTTGAATCACTGGTATTACAACGTTTGCTTTTGAAAAGTACATTTGATATTACAATAGGTTAACATATGTTATCGACATAAATAACCCAATTTCATTAAAAACATGGTCTTTGTCTTTGCAAAGATCTCTTCCTTTTTAGATTTTTATTTCAAATTTTAATGATAACTATTTTTCTACTGGTAGGTAGAATAAATAGATTATATTAAAATTATACGTTTTATAAGAAAAGGAAAACAATGATGTATATATGTTTATATATCATCTGGATAAAGAAATGTGTCAGTTTTACAGAATAAATCGTATTTAACAATTAGCCGTTTTATAGTATTTAAAGTTAAATGTTTCATAATGGAAGGTCTGCAATATCAAAGAAATTATGTTGAGACTATTCATTATCATACATGACAGTAAACCGCGAAATAATTATATGTGGATGTTGTTGGTGAGTGTGAGATATGTGATATTACATGTAAATGTAATTTATACAGCAGATAATGAAATGACATAGAACAACCTATTATTCATTATGAAAAGGATCGTTTTAAATCAATTGAACTAGATCAACATTTTTCCTGAATTATTGTGTAGGAATATACAAATGAGATTTTTCTATTATTTAGTAATATTTGAAATACTTATTGAAAATGTGACCATTGTAGACAAAATAGATTAAAGCATTTAGTAACGAATTAAAAATAACATTGATATACTTATACTATTAATTAAGGCATATGCTCGGAGAATATAACAAAAATATGTTATGCATGATCATTTATCATTTCTCTGGAAGAGATCTGCAATGATACACTTACAAAGGTGAATATACCTTGATTATTATTTCTTAATGTATCGTTTTGTCGTTATATTTCAAATTAAGTAGTTGTGTGAATTTATGCTAGCAAGGGTGCCTATAAAATGATCTTTACAACATTTCCGATCTTAGTGATAACGTTACCTCTTTGATATTAGAAAACTATCTTAAATTCCTAATAATTAGCAAAATTAAAAGATTTAACATCACTTGTTTCAGCCAATACTGCCAACAGTATTGCCTCATCTAAATATACTTAATCAATGCATCGCCGATCACGGGTACATATTAGAATACATATGTACCAAAACTAGTGGGCCGAGACAGTATCAAGACTGCTAAACAGGACCTGTAAATTGATTTTAAATGAGGTTATGAACAATTTTATATTCAAATAACTTGAAACAGGATTTGTGTTTCTGTTATTGTATGACCCCTCAAGAATTATCGAAGTTTCTCCCCCTCTCTTTCCATTCTCATTAAAAATCAATGTAGACAATTGCCAAAATAAAAAAACATTAATTGCAAACATGAGGAGAATCATATCCACGAAATAGTATAAAACGAAAAAGAAGAAATACAATTGTCATTATTTTTGCAACGTAAAAGTCCTGTAATAAGCATCTTCCCCTTATTATTCTTATTCCTAGCGTTTGTTCAATGTAGGTATCCAAATTATCTAAAAACAAGTATTTGTTTGTTTTTCATCTATTGTGGTGTCAATTAGATTTTAAAAGCATTCGAGATAGAAAAACCTTTCAGACTTAATCCCATATGTCTTCCCAAGTTTAATGTAATAAATGTCACTTGGATCAAAACTGGTTACAATTACCAAGGCTGACTGAACGTCACAATTAGTTGATGTTTCTAGTTCGTGCATGGGTCTGCAGTTTGTGGCTGATATTTGATAGCCATTTATATTTTGATGTTAAGATAATTATTTTATGAACGTAAATTAATGATAAGTAATTGAACATATACTGTATTTAGTGTATTTACAAGAAATGTTCTGCAAATATTTTTCTGAAGGACAAAACTTGAATAAGTGAAGGAGCTTATTATATAGATCACTCATCGAGATGTTTATAAAGGAGAGTTAAATTTGCTTGTAATTATAAATTCGTGGTTATGAAAATAACTGTATTTCATTGAAAGTTTAAAAAAACAGGAATATTAGTATAAAATGCATTTTTGCTGAAGAACTTGTTTGTAAAATGGATCATTTTTCTTTTAAACTCCATGTTGTATGTATTGATAAGCAAAACAAATGGAGTGCGTTAAATGACATCATTCCGTCGCTTTTATTGTCATGTCGCGATCAGATTGGAAGGCGTAAATGTTTTTTGTCTAATACTTCTGTCAGAAACGTTCAATAATAAGGCCATACATATGAATATGCTTCACATTTCCCCGTTCCATTCTGTATATGCATCTTGCAAATCCATATCGAAAACAATATAGCGAACTGGAAGCTCGAGGAGGACAAAACAGGTACGACGCAGTTTACCGGTATATTATTAGTTATAAAGATCGTAGACAGGTTATATGGCCGTATATAAACGGCTATTTGTAAATATAACCCGAGCCGTTAGGCGAGGGTTATATTGCAAACAGCCGTTTATATACGGCCATATAACCTGTCAACAATCTTTATAACGAATTTATAATACAGCAAGCATCATTTTGTGGAGGAAAAAAGTAAGATTTCTTCATGAATCGACAGCAGCCGTGTATATAAAACTATATAAACGTCACGATTATCCAATGAAAAATGACGTTACAAACGTGCAGTATTATAATGCATTATCAAGCTCAACTTAGATATTGGGTTTATTCCACCAAAATGCAAGGCACATAATAATCTAGCGTCGAATATGAATTAGACAATTATTCATTAAGGAAAAAGAAAATAGGAAATTTGCAAAATAATGCGGTGCACAGAAATATACAAACCGAGCCGGCAACATTTATAATTTTGCTGTGTTGGACTTTCTTTAGTGATTCTTTTAATCTCTATTTTATAAATAAAAGTTGAAATCAGTATACAGACAATAATACAATTTACAAAGTATATGTTTATAAACTAAAGAAGAGTAAATAACACTTCTAATTTAAATAAACATATTCACGATTGTATTTTGTCTGTAATTGTCTTTTGGTCTTTGTCATACTTTTTCGGCCAAAGAGAATGCCAAAGAAGGTCTTTCCCGCGACAACTTTCCTTATAAAATATTTATTTAACCATTCATTTAAAAGTCGCGCCTATCTAGAGAAAGTATGAAAAGAAAACCGACGAGTACGTTTGAATTATGTTAATTGTTAATGTCTTTTTTACAAGCGTCTAACTTTTTCCGTGGCCGAGCGATTAATGTCTTTGACTTCAAACCACTTGCCCTTCACCGCTTTGTGTTCGAATCTCAACAGAGATTTTAGATTCTTTCATGTAAGAGAGCTATCCAGCTAGCTTACAGAACGTCGATGGTTTTACTCAGGTACTCGTTCGTGCCTGAAATAATGCACGAAATGGCACCTGGGGTATTCCTCTACTAGGATAGCTGGAACGTCGCCATATGAGCTTTACTGTGTCGGTGTGACGTAAAACACTACCAAACAAAATAATTGACTACGTATCCTTAATTATTTTACGCCTATAAAGCATGTTTGACGAAATTGACAAAGGGCGTTGTTCTTTAAATTTCGTTCATAATGTTAATTTTTTATGAAATATATATCCATCAGAACGATCTAAAAGGAATGTTGTTTATACAGTTTTGTCCATATATAGCCATGTTTTATAACGTTATAATAATCTCAAACGACTACCTGATGTAACACAATATATCTTATTTTTCGTTTAAAGTATTTTTTGCATTTTGTGCATATAAACCTGTTACGACTAAATTGTAGTCAGATAGAATTGTGCATATATAGCGTGATGTAAAATATTCAGCGGGTATTTTAGTAGATCATATTTCAGAATTTGTTTTGTAGATATAAACAGTTAGTATAGGTTAGTGTTTGTTCGTCTGCATTTCGGCTGCATTTAATGAAATAAAGCATTTTTGGTGTATATATATCAAATAGTTGATATAATCTTTAATTTTGCCAAATTGAATTTCAAAATCTAATTTAACTTCCCTCGTTTTGTCTCAATATATTTGTATGTATAATAAATGCCGCCGAGGAAGTCCGAAAGGCTGAAATTTACGGCAAATTCAAATTAGCGTTTTAGTTAACAAATATCATATATAATTTGCTTTTTTTTTAAATGTTGTCAGTAAATTCGCTTATAAACCAGCGTAATATATTTTTGGAGGGGAGCATTGGCCTATTGGTTAAGTTATCTGCCTCTCAACCCAGGATCATGGGTTCAAGTCCTAATCGGGTCACGCCAATGTTTCTTCATAATTATGACACCAATA